TCGAATTAACGGGAATAACGCGGAGTTAAAGTATAGCTACCGAACATTTGTTTTCATGATAAATGGTTTTATTGTATTTTTTGATTATACAAAATCACTTTTCAAACTGCGATTAGGTTCCCAATAGCGATAGCTTATCCGAAAATCATTTCCCTATTTGTTATTCAGACAAATGACGACCAATCACTCAATTTATTATACTGTACTAAACCCTTAGTTTTCTGTGGAATCTTTGAACGTATATCACGAAATCTAATCGATTGATAGAATGAAGTTTTTATCGTTTTATAAAAAATAAACAAATTTAATTTTTTTTAGATAAATTCAAAGTGAACTAAAAATCTAAATCACTTTTAGAAATTGTTTAAAGGTTATAATAGACGATATTATCTCTTCTTCATCAAGGCCTTCTTCTGCTAACTTGGGCAATAGTCATTTTTATCCATTTTCATATTAGCAGATACTTGCATTTCTTGCTATAAACGAAGTTCATAACAAGCTCGATTTAATTAATAAAATAACTTCATTAGTTTGTTCGTAAATTTCGAGTAAATATACGCATGAAGTTATTTTAAATAAGTTTAGGACATAATTAGGGATGGAGACGATTTTTCAGTTCGGCTCCGATTCCATGAGTTAGCAGAACCGAAATGAAACGGTTGAAAACCGTTTCAAATAACCAGTTCTGCAGAACAGTTCGAACTGTTCCTTATTATTTTTGGAAAATATTTACCTAGATCGCAATTTATTACTTTCCTTGTACTTACTCATTTATTCCAAGTATCATTATCTCCAATTGCCACTTCAAACGACATTGATGCAATAAAAACCCGAGATGGTGCTCCATATCCTGTAGCATAACCATCCAATTCACAGATTTTTCCATAACTAATTTTTGTCTTTAGAATGATTTCTCTTGCCTCTTCCTTATGAGAAGAGTGTTCTGTCACAATTCTTGACACCTTGTTCCAGTGGCGTACTTGATCGTGATTGTTTCTTGT